TTTTTTTTTTTTTCTTTTTTCTTTTGGTTTTTCAAGACAGGGTTTCTCTGTGGTTTTGGAGCCTGTCCTAGAACTAGCTCTTGTAGACCAGGCTGGTCTTGAACTCACAGAGATCCGCCTGCCTCTGCCTCCCGAGTGCTGGGACTAAACGCGTGCGCCACCACTGCCAGGCCTCACTCCTTACCATTTTAAAACAGGAGTTAATGGCACCTTGAGCCTGATATTACCAGTAATTTTAGGTGAACCAGAAGGATTATGAGTTTGAGACCAGTCGGGCATTCATAGTAAGTTCAAAGCCATCCTGTGATACATAGGAGGCTGTTCCAAAAACAAAGAAAAAGGGCATTTTTTTTAAACCATCATTGATTAAGTTGTTATTGAGTTTCACAAGTAGAAATACACTGACATTCCTTTTTAAAAGATTGCTTTTTTTTTTTTCCCTTCTTATTGTTTTCTTTAGTTTTTAGAATCAGAGTTTTTCTGTATAGCACTAACTGTCCTGGACCTCACTCTTTAGCCAGGCTGAGTTTGGACTCAGATCCACCTGCCTCTGCCTCTCTAGTGCTAGGATTAAAGGCATGTGCTATCCCTGCCCAAGCTAAAGATTATTTTTATTTATGTGTCTATGTATGTATGTATACATGTGAATTTGAATACCCAAAGAGGTCATAAAAGGAATTTTCCAGAGTTAGAGTGGAGGAGGGTACTGGGAAATGAGCTTAGTCTTCTGCAAGTTCAGAAGACTATGAGGTATTTCCAGCCCTGTTTTTTTTTTTTTTTTTATGCCTTCACATTTTTTTTAAATGACTTCACATTTATATGGGAATGGAAATGTCTTGATTTTTTTACTGTGCATACAGGTTTTATTCTCCAGATCTAGTAGCTACAGTATTATAGATTTTGTTAAACTTTCTTTTTTGAAAAATATTTCATGCATGTTGTGTATGTGTGCCTCTGTGTCTCTGTGTACGTGGGAAGTCAGTGCTATCGGTGGTTTCTCATGCTTGTTTTGAACTCTGGACTCCAGGCTTACATAGTAAGTGATTTTTTTTACCCACTGAGATCTATGCCACCGGCTTGTTAGCAGCGTTTAATATCAAACTTTTAATTAAATATTTCTCATTACAGGATGAAAGCTCTTCCACTGCTAATCTCTGTGTAGAAGATCTTCAGAAAAATAAGGATTCAAATAGTATAATTAAAGATAGATTGTCCCAAACGGTTAGGGAGAATTCTAAATCCTTTTTTGACCCAGTTCGGAAATGTAATGGACAGCCTGTACCTTTTCAACAACCAAAACACTTCACAGGAGGAGTGATGAGGTGGTACCAAGTAGAAGGCATGGAATGGCTCAGGGTAATGAATTGTTTCCTTTTTAAAAACAATTCTATTATTATTGTGTCTGTGTGGGGGTTGGGGTGCGCACCACAACACATGCTGATATCAGAAAATGATTTTGTGGAGTCAGTTCTCTTCCATCTTTAGGTGGAGTTTGACAGTTGAGCTTAGGTCAGCAGACTTGCACAGCAAGCACTATTTGCTAAGTTATTTTGCCTTTCAGATTTTATTTATTATTTATCATTGATAATGTGTGTGTGTTTTCATGTTTTGGCTCATGTCTCTGTGCTGGGATTAAAGGCGTGTGCCTCTACTGCCTGGCTTTTCTCTAATAATTTAGTAGATTATATACCACTACTCAAGTTCCTCTGTTAGTATAAAGGAAGTATTTGTGTATATTTTTTAAAAATTTATTGTATATACAATGTGGGAGTATGCATGTGTATCTTGTACTTGTCTATTGAACAGTGCAGAATCCTTAAGATTGCATTGGGTTCCTTGTGGCTGGAGTTACAGATGGTAGGATCTGAACTCTGATCCTGTGGAAGAGAAGCAAATGGTCTTAACTGCTTAGTCATTTCTCCAGTACTTTCTATGCATTTTCTGAGTGTTTTAACAGGAAAATGAACTTGTCCGATCTTCAACACTTTATGGCTTTGATAAAGGACTTCTGTTATAATTTATTTTATTATTTTGGTTGGCCTCATAGTTTTGATTGTGTTTTTAAACAGACTCCTTTGTTGATTTAGTAAATGTTTGTATTCATATTTACATATAGTGTATTCTTTTGTCCAGATGCTTTGGGAAAATGGAATTAATGGCATTTTAGCAGATGAAATGGGTTTGGGAAAGACTGTTCAGTGCATTGCTACAATTGCATTGATGATTCAGAGGGGAGTACCTGGACCTTTTCTTGTTTGTGGCCCTTTGTCTACGCTTCCAAACTGGATGGCTGAATTCAAAAGATTTACCCCAGAAGTAAGATATATTTTCTAACATTAAAATTATTGCATATATTTTTTCTGTCTTGTTGCTTGAATTATAGATCACCTATAGTAACTTAATAGATTCCCATAAATATTGAATCTAATTTGACTTATTCAATTTGAACAGCCCTTTTCTTTGGTTTGTTTAGCTTAAAATGTCCTGGGATTATATTTGGGATTTCACAGATTTATTCATCTGAGACAGATCTACATAAAAGAATATTCTTTATTGTGTTTATTTTTCTGCTTGATTTGTTGAGACATGGTTTCAACTTTGTAGCCCAGCTGTTCTCAGAGGTTTTTAGCTCAATGATTTACTGCAGTCTTGCTTCCTCAGCCTCTTGACTGCTCAGCATGTCATGTTTATTCTTTTTATTTATTTACTTATTTTTTCTTTTTTCTTTTTCTTTATGGTTTTTCAAGACAGGGTTTCTCTGTGTAACAGCCCTAACTGCGCTGTCCTGGAACTAGCTCTGTAAACCAGGCTGGCATCAAACTCACAGAGATCCACCTGCCTCTGCCTCCTGAGCGCTGGGAATAAAGGCGTGCTCGACTATTCCTTTTTTTTTTCTTTTTTTAAAAATATTTATTTATTTATTATGTATACAATATTCTGTCTATATGTATGCCTGAAGGCCAGAAGAGGGTACCAGACCTCATTATAGATGGTTGTGAGCCACCATGTGGTTGCTGGGAATTGAACTCAGGACCTTTGGAAGAGCAGGCAATGCTCTTAACCTCTGAGCCATCTCTCCAGCCCCTCGACTATTCCTT